TATGACTATTCCTGATGACAATTAAAATTGTACGATTATTCAAGTATGATCAAATAACCTTGCAGACATTTTACAGTTAGACCCATTAAGTGCATTCCCTCGGGATCAAATCATCTTTATTCATTTAAGGAGGGTGTGTATTTAGAGAAAGTAATTTTATCTGTTGAAATGATAATAGTCGGCCAAGTAAACACGCGAAGATTTAAAAATGTCAAGGTAGTATTTTTGTAAAGTGCATTTGCCAATGATTTTCCTGCCTCTGATCCAAGTTCATTATATTGAAGATCCAAAGAAGTTAAGGTGGTGTTTTTGCAAAGAGCATCTGCTAATGCTTTTCCACCCTCTGATCCAAGTTGATTACATCTAAGACCTAAAAAGGTAAAAGTAGTGTTTCTGCCAAGTACATCAGCTAATGCTTTTCCACCTTCCGGTCCAAGTTGATTATCTTGAAGATTTAAGAAAGTTAAAGTGTAGTTATTGCAAAGTGCATTTGCTAATGCCTTTCCGCCTTCTGGTCCAAGTTGAGCATTCCAAAGATCCAAAGAAGTCAGGGTGCTGTTCTTGCTAAGTGCATTTGCTAGTGCTCTTCCTCTTTCAGGTCCAAGCTGTTTGTGTTGAAGATTCAAAGAAGTCAAAGTGGTATCAAATAAATTAAGCAGATCTAAGATTTCGTCATTTTTAACTGACAACTCATTATGAAGTTGATTTAAAGTTTTGAGAATTTCATTTATTTCTGGACGCTCATTAGGTTCCTTGTCCCAGCATTTTTTGTATAGTTCAACATATTGAGATGGAGTATCTTTTATTGGCACTTCATTCTCTCCTTTTAATATGTGAATAAAGAATTCCGGCTTTGATTCTATAGCTTGAAATGGTGGTTTTCCACTTGAAATTTCCCAAAGGATTACTCCAAAACTATATATATCCGATTTCTTATTGCGTTTATATCCAGACTGAATAAAACATTGATAATCTATATATGCCAGCATTCCGTGAATATTTGAATTTGAAGTCATTGATACATCACTTAACTGTCTTGATAATCCAAAGTCTGCAATTTTTGGTTGTCCTTTATTGATTAAAATATTTTTCGAATGCTATGAGATGAAAAAAAATTTAATCAAAAATTAGTGGACTAAAATTTATAAACTGTATGAGCATAATATACTCTATATAAACATAATAACACTTACAAGATCTCTATGAATAATATTGTTCTCGTGTAAGTACAAAAGTCCAAGCACAATTTCTTTGGCAATTTGTAATTTATTTGTCCACCTCAATTTTATAAAATTCGCTTTCAGGTATTCTCGTAAACTTCCTTCATTAGCAAGTTCCAAAACCATATAATAATATCCTTGGTGACCTATTCATTAGTATAACAATAGTAGATATTCCCATTTAACATAAACATAATTACTGTTTCTATTCATAGAAATTATCGGTCGTATATATACTTTTTGTAACTCCGTAGAATGTAATGACATTTGGATGGCAATTAACTCTTCGCAATAGCTTAAGCTTTATTACATGAAATGTAAGAATTTAACATAGATTTAAGCTTTTTATTACATGAATTATAGAATTTAATATATGTTAAAATTTATTATATAGGTATAACGGAACTTGGTGTTTATTGACAAAAATTTTATTAGGAAAATGATAATTCGAGACTATATAGATTTTGAAAAAAAAACTTTAAATTACTAGCCATCGATTGGATTATTGGTATGGCTAACTTGAATTTTGGCTCACAAAATCTTTATAGTCCAAAGATTACGTTCCGTTATACGTATACATTGTTGACTATGATAGATAATACCTCATTACTAAAATCAATATTTATATTTGTATCGATTCTAAGACATTTAAGAGCAACTGTTAAATTGCAGTCTTTCCACTCGCATTTATAAACTGTTCCAAAACCTCCAGTACCAATCACTGTATGGTTTGTAAGTTTAGTATATTCAATATGGTTAATATGTTCATCAGAAATAGCATTTTCGAGCCATTCCTCCGCCATGTCTTTGCTGATGAAAATGTCATTTGGTCATACAATATATACGTACGTACGTACGTACGTACGTCGTACATGCATACGTATATTGTAGTAAAGTAGTACGGTACGAAAACGCAAGATAGTACGTACGTACGTACGTACGGTTTGTAAAAGAAAAACTTCGTCAAGCCCATGTTACTTTTACTAATTACCCATGAAAAAAGGACAATACCAGCGCTCACCCTAACCCTAACTATTAAAAATGGTTACTTATAAAAAATTTGAATTTTACAAGTCTATACAGTATTAGCGTACGTACTCACTAACAAAATTTAGTATGTCCGTCCGAATTTGTACTAGCGTACAGTACTACTTTACTGAATACCCTTACTGTTACACGCATAGCGTATTTATGTAGTAATTATTACGTACGCACGTACGTACGTACGTACGTACACTAGACGTATGTACGTACTAGAAGAACTCCATTTGATTTAAAATTCTTCGGCCTTTATAATTTTTGATCACACAATCTTGACGGACAATGAATGGGGTCTAGTATGCCAATAAATGACATGCGGAGTAAACCCATGCATAATTGTTCGGATTACATTTTACGGTTAAATAAGATTTCCGAACAAACCCCGATTGGGTTTAATTAAACGTACAAATGTTTCACAGACCTGAAAATCACCAGATATTTAAAGAGCACTCAATCATAAAAAAATTAACATCACTTAAAATATCGGGGCGAAAGAATTTTGACAAATTGTCTATTGCTACCATTGAATTTCCTTGAAACATTTGCAAAAAAGATAATAATAATGACACAGCCAAAATGGGTTCATAATGATGATTACTCCACGACAAAATTTTGGGAGTGTAAAGATTTGCTCATAATTTCATGTGAAAAAAACAGTTGGTCTCCAAGAGAAAGAACGTTCAACAATGGTAAATAATTTCACATTATATATAATTTATTTTACAAAGATTAATATGCTCTAAAATTTGAATTTTGGCATTTTCTCATAAATTAATAGATACTGAGGATTCTATATCTGTTGATTTTGAATTGGGAAAACGATATCCTCAAGCTAAAGGGTTTTATTTCTTTGGTGTTTTTGATGGGCATGGAGGTATTAATTTTTATTTATTTAGATTAATATTATATGATACAAAATTTTCATATTTGAAATTTTCTTTTTTGAAGTAGCAAATGGATTAGTAAATGGAAGGGAACATCTTTCAAAAATATGTTCTGTGCAGCTACCAAATAATATTGCCAAAAATTTACCAAAAAAACCTAGGATCAGAAAAGCAAATATTATAGAGGCTATAAATAAAGGATTTAAAGAAACAGAACAATATATGAAATCAGGTACTTTTTTATTTTATATATGATTATTTTAGTTTATTTGCTTAGCAATTAATTAATTTCTTTATTAGAGCTTGTTAGAGAAGCACGGGATGCCGGAAGCACAGCGCTAATAGCAGTATTGACACCTTCAAAAGAATTATTTATTGTAAATTTAAAAAATTACAATTTTATAACCTTATAATTTTATTTGTGTTTTATAAAAGCATATTTATTAATTATACATTGATTTTTAGGCATACGTTGGAGATTCACCCGGTTTTATTTCAACAAAGACAGCATTTTCTGTTCAAATTACAAAAGAACATGATGTACATAATAAAGGTATTTAATATTCTATTGAATATTTTATCTTTTACATAAATTTAATTCTTATAATGATTTTTTTTCAGCTGAAATTTTAAGGTTAAGACAGCAAAAAAAGGAAAAAGATGGTGTAGGCTTTTCAATTTATAGATTAGCCCCTGGAAGAAGAGAAAAATCCTGGGCATGTAAGTACAAAACTAAATGAAAATACGGTTGAAATAATTTTTTATTAATTTAAATTAACATTTAATAGTGGATAATACATTTGGTCGCGGAATGCAGTTTACACGGGCATTAGGAGATTTTTATATTAAAGAAAAGGCGCCAAAAAGTTTAATATGTAAATTAAAATTTTATATTTATTCTTATTTCTTATATGATTCACTTAAATTTTACTATTTTTTATAGCTGAACCAGAAATTACAGTCAAATATAATGTAAAAGACTTAAATTTACTTGTTCTTTGCTCGGATGGTAAATTTTTTGTTATTTAATTCTTGAATCACATATATGAATTCTAATAAAAAATTTTCATGCAGGTATTACAAATCGTCTTAGAGCATATAGAAGAATGCCAACACAAGTTTTACTAAGTTATATTAAGCGACACATAAATTCAGACAATCCATTAAAGTTAGCTTGTGATGAATTAGTCAGACTCTGTGATTTAGTATCTCAAACAGGATTTTGTATTGATGATATGTCAATTTTAGTAATAATATTTTTAAATGGTAAATCATTAAAAAAATGGTGCGAAGATGCAACGAAACGTGCTGAAAATCCTGAAGAATGGTTGAATTATAAACCAAATCCAAATGATGATGAGATTTCCGAGATTTCAGACGAAGATTTGGGTGAAGTTGAATCTCCAAAGAGTGATAACTTTGATCTTTATTCAAATCCGTATTCTAGTGATGAGGCTGAAGAATATGATATGACTATTCCTGATGACAATTAAAATTGTACGATTATTCAAGTATGATCAAATAACCTTGCAGACATTTTACAGT